AAAAAAAAAAAAAATTCTGATTACATCAGGGTCAAATGGAGAAGCAAGTCAGTAGTAAGCAGGCATGAAACAGAACAGGGGTCCTTCCTGTAGGGGTTTGGGTTAGTGACTCTTTCTGGCTTCCTCATGATACCTACGAATATTAATCCCTTTTTGTTTATCCTTAAGGGAAGTATCTGAGAGCATTCGTTTGTATTTTGTCTTGAGGTCTATCTCACAGCAGGTTTGTCTGAGTTTCCCCTATAGTTTCAGTGTTTATGTTCTTCTACGCTGGCTCCTTAGAGGGTCTAGCCCTGTTTGACAGACTATAATATTTGTACCTAACTTAGCTATCCATAACACTACTGATACAGGGAAATGAAATTCCCAACATGCTAGATGTCCAAAACAGCAAGCTTGTATTCTCTAAAATTGAGGAATGAGGGCTGGGGGTATAGCTCAGCGATATAAGCTCCTGCCTGGCAAGCACAAGGTCCTGAGTTCAATCCCCAATATCGCAAAATAAAAAATAAAATAAAATTGAGGAATGAATTCTACGAACAATGGAAGTTAAGAATAGGAAAAATTTATTGAAAGAAAGCAACAGTCTGAGAGGGACAGAAGGGGGCCAGGCAAGTAGGCTGCCCATAAATTCCACTTTTTAAGCATGTTTACGGAGTAAAGCCATGAGGCAAAGCAGATTCAGGTGGGACAAAACTACAATCAATAAGATTACAAGTTAGTCACTCATCACTCAGGTAATGCTGATCAAGTAGCAAACCATAGGATGGGTGTGAGATGGGACAAAACTATGGTCAACTGATAAGTATATAAGTGTAGTTACTAGGGTAATATTGATTAACTGGGGATCAAATGGGGAAACAAGTCTTATAGCAAGCACACATGGGAAGGACAAAGAACTTTCCTGGAAAGGGTGGGTGAAGGAAGTTTGGTCCTTCACCCCAAAATGATTGATGCCTACTAGAAGTATCAATCACTGCTGTTCACCCCTAGGGAAGTATATGGGTGAGTAGTTCCTTTTTCTTGAAGCCTGGCCTTTAATGAATGCGCCTCCAGCCATAGTTATCTTCTGCACTGACCTCTCTGACCAGCCCCACCTACAATATTTCTACCTAACTTAATTGCCTATAATACTATAATTCAAAAAAGGGCAACAGAAGCTAGACTTAGGGACCCATGCCTGTAATCCCAGCACTCTGGGAGGAAGAACAGGAAGATCACAATTCTAGCCTAGCCTGGACAATATAGTGAAACTCTGTTTCAAGATAATTTATTAATGATGGGAGCACCAAGAGATAGCTCAATGGTGTAAGCACTTGCCTGGCAAGCACAAGGTCCTGAGTTCAATCCCTGATACTGAAGAAAAAAAAAAAAAAAAAAAAGATGGGTTCCCAGTAAGTGCAAACTGTTAAATTATTATGGCCATGATTCAATATGGCTGAATCCCAAAAACAACCGCTTATCTTCCCAATAATTATTTCCTCTTCCTTCCCCACTGAAGTTCTGGATATCTTTAGTGCACACAAGAGAACCCCCAAACAGCTTCTTATGCGTCACTGAACCTGCTCCTCAAGCTCCGCCCCTAGCAGAAGTCCATAAAATCTCAGCCTTCCTGTCTCAGGTCAGAGGATCTGCACCGCCCCCATCTCCCTGCCATCATCCTTTCCCTGTCTTCAGAGTTTATAAAGGCTCCCCCTCCCACTTCTTTTACTTCTGCTTCTCTGCTGTGCCACCAAAAACCCTAACCATTAAAAGGCCTGGAGGCTTAGTTCAGTGTGAAGGTCCTGGGTTCAATCTCTAATACCACCCTCCCCAAACCAACAATGTCTATTAACACTACTTCCTACTCAGTATTGTATTGGAATTCTCAGTAATTACAATAAGGCAATACAGATAAAATGAACACTGGCAAATAAGAAAATCTGTTTTCTGTAACACAAAATCCAAGAAGAAGCCATAAAATAAGTGCTAGAATTTTTAACTAAATTTAGCAAAGTTGCTAGATATGAAGTTACTAAACAGTTAACCAATAATTTTATATACAATAGCATAGTAACTATTTTTACTGACAAAATCCAAAACTTACTAAAACCAACCAAACCATCTCCTACCTCAATGATTTTCTACTTATGCCTCTCAAGATCTCAACTATCAGATATGTAACTTTATACTAATTCTATGAGAATCCTTAGACAAAAAAAAAGTATGAGAAAAATGAATATACTGCTAAGTGGTTATATAAAAATTAACTCTAGAAAAGGTGTTTGATGGTATACTGGAAAGATCCATCTTCACAGTACCATCATTAACTGTGAAGAGAAGGCCTAGACACCAGGTAAATAGTCACCATTTGGCAGGGAATTTCAGTTGAAGTTACTGCTGAGGACCTGGAATTGTAAACTGACAAAGTATCCTTCCTAGAGTTTCTTTGTCCTGTCTGCTTTTGGGCCTGCTTTTGGAATGTAGAAATTACCTTCCTTTTGGTCAATGAGATTAACACTCCAGAGTGGACATGCCTTGTTTCCTTTTTGATGTTAAACTTGCCCATTCTATCACAACCTCTAGACTGTTCCAGGAAACACATTCTATCCTCTCTCCTACACTGGCTAATAAACAGTGGCTAGCTTGGAGTGGCTTGGATTCTGCTCATGAGACACTGACCTCCCAGCCCCTCATCATGTATTACTAAATTTGTCTTTCTTTATTTCATCCTTTCACCACACCTCTCATACAGCAGTTGGGGATGATCCCCAAGTTATTCTACACCCTGGAAAACAAAAAGGCATTTTATAAACAAAAAAGTTAAAGTGATCTCTAGCTTGGTTTTAAGATATGCAAATACAATGTTTTTCTACTCCCAGAAGTCTTCTCTGGGAATACAGCAAAGTGTGGAAATAAAAAGGAATCATGCAGCCAGATGTGATGGCATATACACATCTGTAATCCTACCACTTGGAAGACTGAGGAGGAAGATCCATGAAAGTTGGAGGCCTGGGCTACATAGCTCAAGGACAGCCTGAGCTACATAATGAGACCTTGTCTCAAAGGTGTGCATGCGTGCATGCCTGCATGTGTGTGTGTGTGTGTGTATGTTCAATAGCTAGTCTTTCATAAAGGCAGGCTAAATACACTATCTTCACCACAAGCAAGCCTCTGTCACCCCACATTAAACATTCCCAGATGGAAATACCACTGGAATACTGGAATACCACTGACCCTTCCTTGTGTCATAAACATCAGTCTCATTAAATCCTGGCACTAACATCAGTGTCTATGTCCACAGCAGTTTTCTGTAGATAGCTGTGAAAAACACTGAGGATCTGCAATATGCAAACTGCCCCTACAGAACCCCTAAAAGGGATCACTGGAGGAATTAATCCTGCTCTTGGGAGGCTCACTATCCTGTCTTCCCAGACTCTGCCTTGGGGCAATTACAACTAAATTTTCCATACCTAATTCAAGACTGGTTATACAGATGGCACCTTTCATTCTAGGTCTCAAATATTCAACTTCCCCTTCCAAATGACTAAATGCTATCCAGTGTGGCTGTAATGGGAAATTAGAGGCAATTAAAAAAAAAAATCTCAGTGTAGCAAATTTGGAGAAACCATGGAATTTACAATTGTTAAAGGGATATGCTATATACTACACTAGGTTGGACAACAGATAGTGTGCACTGATGCAAGCAACAGAGGCCATGCATCAGAACAGAATTCTCAGTCTTCCAGTCATGGGAATCACATCTACACAATTTTCAACTGTGGCACTGCTAAAAGGAAATCCTACCCTCCTGGAAGAAACAAACTACTCTAAACTGAGCATTGGGGTACACATCTGTAATCCCCACACTGAAGAAGGCTGAGGCAAGGAAGTTCACAGTAAGTCCCACCTGAGCTAATTAACCCTGTCTCAATATAAAAAAATAAAAAGGGCTGGGCTGTAGCTCGGGGTTATTTAGGACGCCCCTGGGTGACTCGATGGGGGGATGGGGTACGCTAAGCGGGACCAATTATCAGGGTTCCGCAAGCGACCCCGTACCCACTCAGTCACGTGAGTCCAATCGAAAGCAGTTAGTTAGGCCCTCTCCACCCACGCACACGCTGACAATCACAACACGAGATCTCGCGTACGCCTCACCCCCCAGGAGACCCTCGCACAGGCCTGAGGTGGACTCCGCGCGCCGGGGAACGCTTCTCATACCCGGAGCGGGGGCACCTCAACTGACCATTCAGACACCGCTGACCTAAAGCCAGAGGAAAGTGAGCCAGAAGTTCTAAGTTCACTGACAGGCCTGGGGACCCTGAAGAAACGTTCTGCAAGCAGGAACCGCGCAGATGTTGACAGGACTGAAGAGAAAGACAGCGAGGAGGTGCGCGCTTCTCCAAGGGACTGCCGCGGAGACTCCTGGGAGCGGGCGCCCGCCTCGAGAGTGCGCAGGCGCACAGGACTGAGCCCAGGCCGGGAATGAGGCTGGTAGGTTTTAGGGGCTCCGAGAGGCTTCAAAGAGTCGTCTGGGAGCTTCAGCCCAAGAGAGCAAACTGAGTGAGCGGAACCGGGTGGGGAGACCCGGGAGAAATCCGGAATCCGAGGCGGGCCTGGTAATCTTGCAATTTCAGGTGCTCAGATCAGTAGGAGATGGGCCTTGGGCGTGGTTCGTGGGCGTGCCCCTGAGGATGCTCACCTGGTGACCTGGAGCAAGCCCTGCTGCTGAGAGATTTTACCAGTTTGACCCCCGAGAATCGCTGTCGCGGAGATGGGAGGAAAGAAGGGGGTGGGTCCCCGACGTATAGCGGATACTGCATATAAATATATTTTCCCTGTGCCCAACCCACTGTGTTTTCATTCATGTGAATGCTCATCTTTGGGATTGGGCATCGAATCATGTGAAAGGTCATGTTGCTGCGTGGGATTTCCCCAATATCTATTTTTTGTTGTTTGTTTACTGGGAATTGAACCCAGGACCTTTTCACTGAGCTATATC